TACGATAGCAACAAATTGATACATGCCTAAATTTTTGCATGTTGTATTACAATAAAGATGTAAATTTGATCGAGTGCAAAACCTGTGGGCATATTTGACATAAACCCAAAATGGGTAGGGGACAAACCCTTATGCCATACAAAAAAATAAGATACTTTCCAGTTGCTTCTAGGTTGTAAATGTTATGTATGTCTTTGAAGACAACAGAGCACATAACATGGTATCATTCTCATGATATGAATAGTGGAGTAATGATACACCTTTAAGATGGTGAAGCTTGGAAGTAATTTAAATGGATGCATCCTGAATTTCCAACAGAACCACATAACGTGTATCTTAGTTTGTATTCAAATAGGTTCAATCCATTTGGGTTCTTTGTTGCATTCTATTATTGTTGGTCGATCATAATAATAGTTTATAACTTGACATTGGAGATGTTTATGAGGCTGAAATTCATGTTTTTATTTACAATAATTGATACTTTTAGTAGATAAAAGATGTTTTTAAAATTTGAAAACTAATTATTGTACAAAAAAAAATTCAAGGAAAAAAATGATTGGATGAGGTAAACTCAAAAGGTGGCAAGACAAGTCTTGGAAAATCATCTTAAATGTGTGACATATATTATTTTTTTTTATAAAATCTTAATCATTTATTTCATTATATATTTTTTATCTTAATAAACTTCTAAATCATGTTGCATGATTTATGGTATGAAGCACATACCTACGATAAGAGAAGAGTTAATTTAAATGACTTTGAGGTAAGGAAGAACTCTAGACCTCCCCACATCACTAAAGGCAATTAGAAGAGATATTTAGAGTTTTATATGTCGAAGAGTTTTCGGAGGCCTTTACAAAGTGGGTCATTAAGCAAAAATAAGGAGATATAAGATCAGGTTATAATTCTTGACTATAAACACCCCACAATCCAGCTCGAGACAACCATCGCCATTCATTGAGGAGTTGGTTAAACAACGAGTTGGTGCTCTAATGGCCAAAATAGAGGCAAAGTATGAAGCACAAGAAAAACAAGTTAAGGAAGATCATGACATACTTTTCTAGTCATTATCCTCCCCATACATATTCCCATGAGATTTTCACCCCCTCCTCCACCTCCACCTACAACTAGAGTGTGTAATTGATTTTTACATTATGCAAACTATGTTTTTAATTTAATTGATTTTTATAGATATTTGTAATTGTTTTTTATATTATGTAAAATTTGTTTTTCAATTTTAAATTATTTGTTTGAGGCTGAATAATTCCATTATGAAATTTTTTTATAACATTTTTTTAAATATCAATTGAATTTCCATTGATAAATGTTCAACCTTTTCATAAGACAATTGTAGAGAGTTATTAACTATTTTGATCTACTTTGATGGAATCACTAACAAAATATGTCGTTAGTGTTTTGTTAGTGAAACTGTTAGTGAGACAAACATATTATTAATAAAAGTATTTGTCAGAATTCTATCAGTAATATTCACCAATGAATTTGATGATAGATATTGGTTGACCCCTTTTTTAAGGACTAACAAGAATAACTCATTGCTATATCTGCTAGTTTAAAAATCACAGATGAAACTATGAACATATTCATCATCAACTAGATACTTCCTAGCAACACGTTTCCATTAGTAAATCTATGTGCGAATTTCTTACTGATAAAATTAGTAAACCAATAAAATCACAGATGATTAGTACTTAAAAGTGCATTTTTATCAAGGTTTTATATCATCATTTTGCACTTGAAGTATCAATAACTTCTTAACTAAAGCATGTTTTATAATAATACATCTAATAATATAAGATACCTTTAATTTGTGGTAAATGTTCATTTTGAAGCAGGCCTATCACATAAATGAAAGAATTGATTGATGAATTTAAGAACAGAAATTGAAAGGATAAAGAGATGGCCAAACTTAGAAAAGAGATGTCGGTGCAATCCAAACCAGAACACTGTTTGATAATTGGGTCATATTTGGAGCTATAGATCTCAGATTTAGGTCTACTTTATATGGATGGAAAGGTAATACATAGGCCTACAACTTTCATATGGAGCCCAAAATCTAAAAAGGCCATTTTCAAGTCCAAATTGTTGCAACAACAAAGAAACCTGAATCTGTCCTCCAGCCCGAGCACTATTTAGTATTTTGGTCATATCTGGAGTTCTAGAAGTTCAAATGAGCTAAATTGTTTACACAAGAAAGCTGAGACAATTGCCTACAACTTTCATGTCGAGTGGCTCCAATTTTGACGTTATCAATGACGTTTTGGGCAGACAAGAGAAGATAAGGATTGTCACCAAGTCAAGAGTTGGCCACCCACTCATCAATTAGTCATCAAATCAATAGTTCCTAATTTTGGCCTATAAAAGGAGGCATTTTCCATGCATTTAGGCATCTTGGTTTCCAGATGAAGATCATGCTCTTCCTTTCTCTCTTTGTATTTTTTGTAATGTTTATGCTTTGCTTTCATTAATATTAAGTTTATGCCTTTCATTTCCTTTCCTTTACTTAGTTAACTTTTATGTTCTTATTTTGTTTATCTATTTTGCTTTCTTTCATTATGTTTATTTATTTATTTTTCTTTCTTTCATTATGTCTAGCTAAGTTTATTATGTCAAGGTGAAAAGGTTAAACTAATGGTGTAAGAATAAGTATAATGTAAACTTAATATGGACTTTAATGTTTGATACTAACATGTTTTATATTTGTTATCTTGTTCACTCTTTAATACTTTGCTTGTTAAATGACTAATCTTGATTTATGTTGTATAACACTTGGTACAACAAATGCTTGGCACTTTCATAGCCCATAATGTATGGTATAACCGACACCTGAGCTATGAAAGGAACTTGATTTATTGTTAACATAAGTTATAATCATGAATGCTTGACGAGATTTACAAGTATTAGCATTAATTGAATAAGATGACTAATGTAATCATGTTAACAATCTATAATCTGATTGAAACCTCCTTTATGTATGGTTTCCAATTGAATAATAAGAGTTTATACTATACTTGTTTGACATACCATTAGTGGAACCTCTAACATTGACATTTGTTATTATCATTGTTTAATCCTTACGTTAATCTTTTCATCTCAAAGTTCTCATCAACTTCTTATTTTTCTTCTTCTTCTATTATTATTATTATTATTACTACTACTACTACTACTACTACTACTACTACTACTATTATTATTGTAATTATTGTTATTGTTGTTATTACTATTATTATTGTTGTTGTTGTTGTTACTATTGTCGTTTATAATTTGTACAATTAACCTCTCTGTGGTTCGACCCAGGTCTTGCCGGGTTAGTTATTACTTCAACACTCCTGCACTTGGGAGTAGACATCAATCTTTTTGTTATGTCAACAGACGAAACTATGAACATTTTCTGATAGTGTTTCATCTATTTTTTAAAATCAATGTATAATTTTGAAAACTTCTTGGTTCTTAATTCCTAAAAATAAAAGGAAAAATCATCTTAGTTCCACTTTGTATTTTGAAAAAAAATGACTACAAAAGAAGTTCTCTTTTTTTTTTGTTTTTGATTTATTGGGATTTTTTATATAGTTGCATCGAGTTTAAAGAAAAAAAATATGGTTCTTTTTTTGGAATAAATAATAAAATTCAAGTTGTTCATATCATTGAAAGTAAGTGTAAATTATAACATAGTCCCTATATTTTAAAACAAAAATATCCTAGACCTTGAAAATTAAAATTAATTGATTAAATCTCCATGTATTCCTACTCGTTGGAAGCTTTATCCCCAGTTGAATTTTTGTAAGTCAGATGTTGATATGCAACCAATTTTTCCATTTGATTTTGTTATTGACATGATGGTTAAATATGAAAAAGGAATTAATTAACTATTTTTTAAACTAAATGGACTAAGTTATTTTTTTTCTTAAAGATATAGGGGACAAAATAATTCTAATTTTTAGGATATAATTAATATTTGGCAGGAAGATAACTAGATAAATGTATAATAAGAACATCAACATAATGATTATTGCTTAATTAATCACTATTACAATTAAATTTACAACTTACTATTTGATTTGACTAAAACATAATTACTTTAAGAGATTGAAAATGAACAGCTGAATACTCTTGTTAATTGAAGAAGAAAAAGAAGAAGAAGACTCAAAACCTTTTGGAAAACAAAATAAAATCATAATTTAATTATCATTGCCTAGTTAAGATGATATTTGAGATTATAATAATGATTGTTTTTTAAAATATTTTTATTTGAAAATATATTAAAATATTTTTTAATTTTAAAGATTTATTTTTAATATTCACACATTAATACTAAAACATAAAAAAGAAATTTAAAAAGAAATTGCAAAGCAAGGAAATGAAACGAGTGAAACTTTAGTGTAGTTGCAGCAGCAACAACATCTACGTGGGCGTTTGGGAAAGTGATGGCTTCTGTGGTTCTCCTTAACGCAGTGGCTATGTTGTTTGGTTAAAGATTTACATTTAACTAAAGTTATGGACCCCATGTAAAAATAGTGGTGTGACCACAGGTTAAGAAAAAGTAAAAGTTATCAGCTTTTCACGTGAAAAAATGATTATTTTACGTATCCAAACATTACAATTAAGATAGCTTAATACCTTTGTATTTATTGGACAAAATTATCTTCCCTATAAAATCAATTTTAATATGTTGGTTAACCATTTTCTCAAAGTTTCTATTCGTTTCTTCACCATAACCCCCTCATCTATGAGCCTTCACCCTTCGTTATTTCAGTTCCTTTTTTTGTATATCAAGAAACCTAGTTAATATCGGGTGAAAAAGCTACCTCATGGCACACCAATGCGACGACCAGCCACACCCACCTTGAGCTTTGCCATAAATGTTGTAAGTTCATTCCTTCAGTTCTTGTTTGCTTTTTTCATATAGTAAAAGTGTTGGTATTCTCTACTAGTTAATGGTGAACTTTGATATATTACTACCATGTGTTTAGCCTTCGCGATCTGTTTTTCTTTTTGGTTGATCTACCAAGCCAACTATTTTTTATTGTAAAACACAAATGTTGTCTCTGTACAAAGCAACTCCCAATTAATTTAGTCTCTCTACAAACCAAAGGCAATACCCACACTTAGCTCTTTATTGCATTATCGACAAACAAACATTAAGAATTGTAAACCCAAATTCTCTTTTTCTCATGTCTAGTATCGTTTGATTTGACGATCTTCACAGTAATTCAGAGAAACCCACCTTGTTCTTCACGGCAATGGAAAGTTGGGTTTCTTCAACGGTGAACAGTTTGTGAATAAGTATGATAATGTTGGGTTTTTCAAATCTAGCTATGGTGATTATTGGTATGGTTCGTTTGTTTCTTGTGTTTCTTGGTTGTGAACTTAACATAATAACTATTCCTGTTGCAATGGTGTCTTTGGCTGCTGCTTTCAAAATATTTGTCATGTTTAAGTCTAGGATTGCATAAAAGACTACTACCTTTTCCATTCTTGATTCTCCTCTTGATTCTTCTGCTATCGACTTTATTAATCGTCTTCGAAGATGGTATATGCCCAACTCTCTCCTTTTAAGAAAAAAATTCTTTTACAGGGTTTAACTATTTTTTTGGTAATTAGAATTCTTGTTTGTCGAGCTTATTTCAGCCGAGTTTTTTACATTAGTTTTGACTGGGTTTTAGAACGTGTTATGTTTAGTTGGTTGCAGAATCTTGTTCGTCATGGCTTGATCTGAATTTCCCCTATTATTAGCATGTACTAATATGTTTCTTATATTGCAGATATGCTTTAATCCATTTGATAAAGTTGTGGCCTGATGTCTTGGATCAACCTGTTCTAAACTGCATAATAGACAAGTTTGCAATATTTAAGTTACAAGCAAGCTAGTTAAAGTGTAGGTACATATAGGATTTTTAGAACACTGTTTAAGGCTAGTGCATGATTGTGTTGTCACTTTGATCTAGAGGTGAATGATGGTGCATACATGCACTAATTAATGACATGGGGTTTGATATTTAAGAATTGTATATGAAACTGCTATATAGATGGCAGCGTTTTGGATTTGTGTTCGTGATAAGTCAAATTGGTTTAAGGAATAGTGTTTTCTAGTCTAGAAAATGTGTCCACAAACCAAACAGGGTATCTGTTGGGTCTCCCTAAGACCATGACTATAGTAAAAAAAAGTCATAAAATTTCCCTTTTATCATTCTTCTCCGCAATACCTTCAGTTTCTTGCAATTTGTTCTGCTCTATGTTAATAAATATATGGATTTGTTGATGTTAGAGAGTCTAAAAATAATAAGAGCTCGATATATCTTCTCATTCAATTACTTTCGGCAATTTGCAATTTGTTGTGTTTAATGATATGAAATACCTGCATCTATCATTTCCTTAAATTAGCTTCACTTTCTTGCAATATTTTCTACCTCATGTTATGAAATATATGGATCTATTGATGTTGAGGAGTCTGAAAATGATGGGAATTTGGTTATTATAAATGGACCTTGTTCTACTCTATGGTCTGAAATATATGGATCTTTACTGCTTACCATGTTGCCTTTGTTCCGAAAATGGCATGTCCTCTTTGCATCTTTCACAATATTTATTCATTCATGTTTAAAGATTGGTCATTCAATTAATTATTATCACACACACACACACTCTCTCACACACATATATATAAACACAATAGGGATACATTTTTAAATCAACTGCATTGTTGGTAGCATTATAACATTTCTTGTTATCAATTTGAAAAAGTTTTAAGCATATAACATCTTTAATACCTACTACAAAGTTTAAAGGCTCATATCTCCTTGTGTTGGTTGATGAATTATGTTAGAAACAAAATTATCAATGGAAGTTAGTGAAAGCTCAGATAAAGCAAAGAGATGGTGCATACATTCTGTGATATTTGTATTATTGTTATTGATAGAGGAATGAGGCCAGACACTCATTTCGATAAGAGTAGATAGAAATTTGTTATGGCTGCCTTCAAAAAGAAAAATGGTTATGCATTTAGTAAGACTCAACTTAAAAACAAATGGGATGGTGCTAAAAAAGACTGGAGGATTTGGAAAAAATTAATTTCTGAAACCGGTGTAGGATGGAATAGTGATCTTGGAACTATTAGTGCTAGTGATGAATGGTGGGCGAAAAAAGCTCAGGTTAGTTATTGATACCTTCGGTGGGCGAAAAAAGCTCAGGTTAGTTTTTGATATCTTTTTTGCTTTATCTTATTATAATTCTAAAACAACGTACCATGTGTTATTTAGTTTATACTTTTGATGTTTCATACACTTTTTTTTAGGAAATCAGAGATTCCAAAAAGTTTAGACATTCTGGGATTGAACCATCACTTTGTAGTAAGTTTGATTTAATGTTCAACAATGTTGTGGCGACTAGACATTATGTTTGGACACCATCTTCTGAATCTTTATTTGATGATGATGTTGCCGGTCAAAGCACTCTGAATGGTAATGTTAATGAAGAAGAAAATTTGAAGGAAGGGAATGGAGATTCAGAGGAGGATGTTATTTCTAATTTCACTGATGATGTTTGCAATTTAGTTGCTGGTGTGAATATGAGAAATAACAGTACTACAAATAGCAGTGGAAAGAAAAAAGTAAGAGAATAATGTAATGTGCAAAGTACAAAGAAAAGTAAAAAACCTTCTGGAGTAGGTGATCGATTGCTGTCATGTTTTGATGAACTATTTGATCATATTTCCACCAAGAATGATAGTTGAGATAAGATAGGGTGTAGTATCAGTGAGGTGATGATAGAGGTCCATTCCATACCCGAAATTACTTTCGGTGATGACTTGTACTGTTTTGCAACTGAGTACTTGTCTAAGAGTCGAAAAGAGAGATGTGGGCCTCAATCAGAGATATTGATAGAAAGTATCAATGGCTTTAAAAAATATACCAGAGAAGTTGAAAACACTAAATTACAGTAAGTTTTGCTTTACTATTGTATCGTAGTTTCTGTTTTCAATTACTTTAACAACTGGATGAATATGAAATTTTGTTTTTCTGCCAAATCATGTATAAGTGTCCAATATTGGGATAATGACACTTAAAACTGTTGGATTGAAGCATGAAGAGTGGTGCCGGTTTTATAAAGAACAAAAAGTTTAAATTATGTTTGCGAATTGCTAACCTAACCTTTTTTACATTTCATGGATTACTGTTAAATTATTGTGTTGTCTTATGTTAACTTGAGGGATAATCTATTGTTATGTTAAGGGATACCTATAATGACTGTTAAGACTTATATTAGAACAATATGTGATTGTATGTCATGTGTGAATGCTTATGGCTATACTGGTATTGGTGTTGTATTATAATGTTGTTTGTTAATGGTTATTGTTATGCCACTACTACTATATGCTGGTAAATTGTTTGTGTTTGCTTATACTAGGGTATGTTGTTTATGAATGTTATTCATGTTGTATACTGGTATTGGTGTGTTGGTATGCTGGAACCATCAGAGCATGCTAGAAGAGTGAAGGAAACATGGGAATATAAACGTGTATAGATAGAAGGGAGCTATGATAGGTGGGCCTTTGGAAACAGGAAGTTATGAAATCAAGTTTCACATCAATTAGAAAGGAGCTATTGTTATATTCCAGTCATTATTTTCTTCATAGTTATGATGTACGATTGTAGGTTATTTGCAACCAATTTTTTGCTTTCCAGTCATGAAATGTGAGCTATAGGTTCTTGGTTGTATGTGTATGTAAGGCTACATTATTGAAACAGTGCGTGAGTATAGGCACCTCAAAAGGAAACGCAATAAGATTCTTAATTTATAAAAGCTTTTCAAAACTATAGTCAGATATATTCTTCACTGTTGCTCAGTATGTGTATTATTTAAAATTGTAAAAGTTTTGACAATGAGATACATTTCTTCTTATATATAATGCATATTGTTACTTCACATTTACAAATATTATTCTGCCTCGTTTAATATACTATAGTAATTATACTTTGGATCTTAGGAGTTTCTGCAACAGAAGTTGTACTTGTAAGTTGTTTATATTCAATCCAATTTTTCGCATTCTGATTAGTACTTAAAAGTGCATTTTTATCA